CAGAGAGGCCGGCGGAGCGGAGTGGCAAGCGACTGGCAGGGAGGCCGGCGGAGCGGAGTGGCAAGCGACTGGCAGAGAGGCCGGCGGCGCAGAGTGGCAAGCGGCCGGCAGAGAGGCCGGTGGAGCGAAGTGGCAAGCGGTCGGCAGAGAGGCCGGTGGAGCGAAGTGGCAAGCGGCCGGCAGAGAGGCCGGCGGAGCGAAGTGGCCAGCGGCTGGCAGGGCGGCTGATGCCAGAGTGAGCTCCCGGACAGCAAAGCGAGCATGTTGCCCCCCGCCAGGCTGGGAGGTGAGCTCACACGGATGCACCTTAGAACTCTGGGTCGTCACTGACCAAGGAAAAGAACGGTGAGTGGGGTTAGAGTAAAATACATTTATTTAGGGTTTGGATCCCATTCAGAGCTAGGTGTCTGGGTGCTGGAGATAGGTAACCTGCTGAGCTGTTTTTAGTTAAATTCTGGGTCTGTGCTGCAGCAGGCTAGCCCCTCTGGCTCAACAAGGCAGGGTTCTGGAGTCCCAAGCTGATAGGGAAAATGTAGTCAGAGGTAATTTCAGAACATCAGGTGACAGTCCCAAGGAGATCTCTGTGACCAAACCTGTCACAAAGCAATTTAATGTCTCTATGTCTCAATTCTTCATCTAATTAATTTGTAATTAATTTGGTTTTCCTTACTCAGTAGAGGGTTGTAAGAATAAAAACATTAATGATTGCTTGGAAGGTAGACATCATCATGATGGGTACCATAGAAATAACTAGTGTGTCTGTCAAACTGATGACAATTGGTGATTTTTTTGTTTTAAAAAAAATTGCCTTATGAACTGGTCATTTTCTGTTACTTGGTTAAAAGTTGCTTCTTACAACTGTTTGTGTGTCCTAAATGTGCTTTGTTCTGTTCTGACTCTCCATTCAGTGTCTCTTTGTGATGTTTTTTGATAATGAATAAAGCAATTGTGGGATATAATAAAAGTATTCTTTGTAGTAAACCCCAAATTCTTTGAGTTGCTCCTGTCATCAATATTGTGATTCTGCTTTATGATCAATTAGTCTGACAGGGTCAAAGCTGCTAAAGAAATGGGACACTCAATTCCCATTACAATTAAAGGACATTGGGCATCCGAATCCCTTAAGGGAAACAACTTACCAAAGGGTGGGGGAAAACATTTGCAGTGGGTGAAACCCACATTTTATTCCCCACTGTCACTGTACTACACATATAGGATGGAATTATCAAAGGTGTATAAGGAATTTAAGCCTAAAACCCTAAAAATTCAATGGGCTTTGGTTGCTTAACTCCCTTAGTCCTCTATGAAAACTGCAGCTTTTATCTTTCGGTGTCTCAGTTCCATTCTGGAAAATGGGAGTAATGATGCTGCCCTATCTCACAGGGGCTTTGTTCAACGAGAGAGGATTCGATGCCATGGTGATGGGATTATGAAAGGAGCTAGACATACTGTAAAGAAAAGGGGAAGCTGAATTATTATCACGTGAGCACCAAAAAAAAAAGAGTGCCGTCATTCCGAGATGCTCAGGGACAACCCATCCCTACAACAAGGAAACAGCTGCAGGATACCGATGGGTGTAATTTATTTAATGTGGCAATGAGCAATTGATTGTACTTCAATAATGTACATCTAGAATGTACCTGACAATATTTCAGTCAGGGAGAATTAGGTTTAATTTTCTCATTAATGGGGCAGATCACATTTACCCTGTATAAGAGCCTGAATTAAAGAGATCGGATTTCAGACTGACGTTTGGGGATTTATGGTACACCTCTACCCCGGTATAACACTGTCCTCGGGAGCCAAAAAATCTTACCGCGTTATAGGTGAAACCGCGTTATATCGAACTTGCTTTGATCCACTGGAATGCGCAGCCCATCCCCCCCCACCCCCGAGCACTGCTTTATTGCGTTATATCCGAATTTGTGTTATATCGGGTCGCGTTATATCGGGGTAGAGGTGTATTAACCTTGATGTATGGAATTAGCCTGCTAATGTGATATCTATCTACCAACCAATCATTGAACAAATTACGAAGTCAAGTGATAGATTCTCTCTCTTCACATGACTATTCCATCAGACCGGAAGTTATGTTTTAGTCAAACACAAGGTATTGGGCCCAGTACATGAATAACCAGATTAAATTCTGTGCCCTGTTTTGTACAGGAGGTGAGACTAGATGATCTAAGGTCCCCAGTGTCTTTATACTCCAGCTAGAATCTTGACACACACCACCTTATTCTTTTTTAAACTGCTGTGGGGTGTTTTGTTTTGTTCTGTTTTTAAAACATTTTAAAAGTCATTTTGGGTAGAACAAATTGTTTCATTTTGATTTGGGGCATTTTAGCTGCTTTTTTATGACAAGGAAATGAAATTTCGATAGGATCTTCAAGAAAAAAGAGGAGATGGTGGAGCCCCCCCCATCCCCCAGTGGTTAGAGTACTGGGAGTCCACTCTGCCTGAGGAAAGACTGAACACAGATGTGCCAGTACAACGGCTTGAACTCAAACCCTTGGGCCACAGCTCCCACAAGTGAGATACCGTGAAGTAAAAGATAAATACACCTTTCACCACAGTGAACGCAGAGAGGAGCTCATGTGGAGGTGACCGTGGACTTCATTAGATTGGACTAGCCCTGCAGTGACAGCTGTTGTGCTGACAGAGAACCTCCATTTGTAAAGGCATGCACGATTAACCATTCGATTCCCTTCCCCAGTATTGTCCAGCCCGGTCTTTACCTGCTCTATAAGGAAGCTTGGCAGAATTCAACTTTAATTTTTTTTATAATTTTGATAGAAAATATCAAAGTATCTTTTTTAGCATTTTTTCATACTGATATTGATTTAAATTTTCACAAAATAGTGAGTTTCAAGCTTTTTTTTTTTTAACTTATTTTTATCCATTTAAATGTTCACGATTCCAGGCACATATGGGAGTGGCAGTAAGACAAGAATGATTAGTGACAGTGAACACTGAGATTAAAAAGATCAAGATTTATTGCCATGAAAACACAAATGGTTAACATTACATGTCAAAATATACAAAATAAATTCCTTAACTGAAACTCTAATAAGTTCTCAAGCAGATTTTTCTTTCTTTGCCTATCTTAAAATGTATATTATCATCAGACATATTTTTTCATAGGTTTGTGTGTATGCAGCTGAAATCAACATTTACAGGCATTTACTGATAAAAAAATACTTCCCTGCCTAGCTACTAGGTCATAATTCTGTGGTCTGCACAGTTCTGACTCTACTTAGATAACACATAATCTGACACCACATCTTAAGATGTTTCTCGAGCAGCACTGGCAGAGAACTTTCACATCCTACAGGTTATGTTTACTCATATTTTTGCAACACTTTGGTAATTTTGTACCATTCACAGAATCTAAGTGTCTCATTAATGAAAAAAAAATATGGTTGTGCTTAGAGTCCCCAGGCAAGTTCAGAGCTCATAGTGCTCTCCCGACACACACCAAGTGGCAGAGAAATAAGATATCACCTTCTTCATTCTACAAGATGGGGAATGAGGCATTGAGAGAGGCAGTGGCTTACCCGTTCTCACGCAGGGACTCTGTGGCAGAATAAAGAATTGACCCCAACTTTATATAGCCTTAGGCAGATGTCTCAGGCACAAGCCATCCTTCCTATCCAAAGCATAGGCAGCATACGCATCTTTGCAGTCACCTTTGGTCACCAGCATTCATTACATTTCCCCTTCCTTAGAGCACAGTGTCACAGATTCTGAGTCACTGCCCCTGTGTCCCCCTTCCTAGGCTGTTCCAAGAATGCCGGATCAGGTCTCTAGCCGACAGCTATCTCGGGGAAGGGACCTTGTGACGTTATTGATGTAATCTGGAACCATATAGATCATTGTTGCAACCAAGGTACTGTAGTGGCACCCAAATCTTGTATAAAGGGGGTCAAACTTAGCGGGCCTTCCTGCAAAATAATATACCAATTGGCATAAAGAATGGTGACACAATTTGGCATTCAGCTCTTAATTTGCCTGAGTTTTGTTGCTACATCATTTGAAATCGATCTGTACCTTTATTAGCTAGATAGATTCCAACCTTGTTTCTACTTGTCACCTTAATGTCAAACTTTGGAGTTCTTAGAAAATACCGTGATCCACCTGACAGCCTCCCTCAAGGCCTCTTTCACCTGTTTGTTCCTCAGGCTGTAGATGAAGGGGTTGAGCAGAGGGGACAAAATGCTGTTGAGAACAGCCACATTCTTGCTGAAGTCCAGCCTGCTGCTCCCCACTGGCTTCAAGTACAGGAAGATGCAGCTGCCGTAAGCCATGGAGACCACGGTGATGTGAGAGGCACAAGTGGCAAAGGCTTTCTGCCTCCCAGCCAGGGAGGGGATGCGCATCACTGCGGAGATAATCTTAAAATAGGAGAAGACAGTGACAGCTAAAGTGCCCGATATGCTGCCTGTGGCGAAGAGGAAAACCAGGAGTCCTAGGAGTCGGGTGTCTGTGCAGGCAAGTTTAAGCAATTCAAAGTTGTCACAGAAGAAATGGTTAATGATGTTGGGGCCACAGAATGGCAACCGGAACAATAGAACAAGTGGGACGAGCACATACCCGAAACCAATAAGCCAAGAGCCCAGCACCAGCCAGTTACAGAAGTGACTGTTCATGATGGACGTATAGGACAGGGGTTTGCAGATAGCCACGTATCTATCGAAGGATATGGCCGCCAGCAGGCAAAACTCAGCAGTGCCCGCAGTGAGATAAAATAAACATTGTGAAAAACACCCGGCCACAGATATGGACTGGCAGCCCGAGGCCAAATTGAACAAAACTTTCGGGATGGACGCTGAGGTGAAGCCAATCTCCAAAAGCGAGAAGTTCCTGAGGAAAAAATACATGGGCGTGTGGAGGCGCTGGTCCACCAGAGTGATGGAGATAATGAGAATATTTCCTGCTATGGTCAAGATGTAGGTGAAAAGTAACAAAACGAAGAGCAGGATCTGCAGCCAGCGAACATCTGTGAAGCCCAGAAGGATAAACTCTGTCACTGCAGTTTGGTTCTCCATGGTGGCTGCTCACTCACACGACGTTTGAATAAAAATACAAATTTCAAGTGATCTACGATATTTAGCAATGGATCATCTAGAGAACTTGTGTCAGAGCTAATAAGTTTTACTAATGTAGCTCTGATGTTGCAATGCCCTCATTTAGATGTATGAAATCAAGGTCTTGCAATGAAACCGAGCATGGTGATTGCTTGTTATGATTGTTACCTGCAGCAAATGCCCAACACTATTTGCAGTCCCCCTTTATTTATTTTCCAATTCCCATGGTTCTTTTTCCACTTCTACTGGTACTGCAATTCCTTCAGAGACCAATTAGCTAATGAGTGCTGCAGCATCCCTGAGGATACCAGGACAAACTCAGAAAGTTTGGGTATTTTTTTTGGGTCACAGCTTTACTGTCTGAAAAGAAAACAAATGGCTAGAATGTAAGGAAAACAATTCCATCTCTTTTTTTGCTTTTTCTTACCCCCAAAATCATAGAATTCTAGAAATGTAGGCGTGGGAGAGACCTTGAGTGGTCATCTAGTCCAGTCCCCTTCCCTGAGGAAGAACTAAGTATTATCTACACCATCCCTGACAGGTGTTTGTCTAACCTCTTCTTAAAAACTTCCAATGATGGACATACCACAACCTCCTTAAGCAATTTGTTTCAGTCCTTAACTAGCCTGATGGTTAGGAGATTTTTCCTAATGGCCAGTCTAATCCTCCCTTGCTGCAATTTTTGCCCATTACTTCTTGTCCTGTCCTCTGTGGGTAAGAAGAACAATTTATCACCCTCTACCTTACATAACATAAGAACATAAGAACAGCCAGACTGAGTCAGACTAAAGGTCCATCTAGCCCAGTATCCTGTCTACTGACAGTGGCCAGTGCCAGGTGCCCCTGAGGGAGTGAACAGAACAGGGAATCATCCACTGATCCATCCCCTGTCGCCCATTCCCAGCTTCTGGCAAACAGAGGCTAGGGACCCCATCCCTGCCCATCCTGGCTAATTGTAATTGATGGACCGAACCTTAGGCACTTAGAAAATGCTTGGCCACAGATGTCCTTCAGACCCTGTTTGACTTGTTCTTTGTGGCGAGCGTAAATGTAGGGGATAAACAGCACAGCCAACACACAGTACAGAAAACACACATCTTTGTCAAAGTCCCAAGTGCCCCACTGATCTGGTCGGATGTACCTGAAGATGGCGCTACCCTACAATATCACAACAACCAGGAGGTGAGCAAGCAGCTTGAAAAGGCCTTTTTCCTTCCTGTGGTGGACGGGATGCGCATGATAGTACAGATGATACAGCCATAGGTAATTATGGTGACTGTTAAAGTGCCAGGTAAGACCACTACAGCTGCAACCAAGAGCATTACCTCAATGTGTCCCGTGTCCCTGCAGGAGAGTTGGAGCAATGC